CCAATGTCTCTCTTCTCATTATGTGGCCAAATACAGTGTTTGTCTCTTTCTTATTGTTTTATAAAGAGATCTACTTCCATTAGCTTCTTTCAAGCAATCGTTGTTAGTTACTCTGGCCGTCCAAGGTATTCGTAACATTTGTCTCAGAAACAACATCTCTGCTGCTTCACAATTCTTCCTAATTTGTTCAGTGACATTCCATTTCGTGACGTTTCAAGTCACCAAAATAATTCAGTTTTCTGTGTTTTATCGTCTTTTTTTTTTTAACTTCTTCAATATTCAGCTTTTGAAAGTATGGGTGCATTTGTTCTTTTCTTTGCCCGTGATATTCTTAGAACCCGTCTGTAACATTTGTATTCAAAGCCATTTATGCCCTGTTCAGTTTCTTTAGTAAGTGCCCAGGTCTCACAGGCATACGTTGCAATGGGAAAGATGCATAATCTTAGAAATATATATATATTTTTTTTCCTTTTTAAGTATATGTATTTATTTATACACTTAATACTGTTTCAAATATATGATTATATTTATTTGCTATTCTTCCCCCGTGTGGGTTCCGGGACCCCATTGTGGGGAAAACAAGAATAGACCCACTGCCTCCCCAAAAGCATGTCGTAAGAGTCGACTAATTGGGGAGCTTCCTTCGAAGTCGGAGTGCATCTGACGGAGATGCAAGGAACCAACAGTCTGTATTCAAGAGAATAAGATCTGTAAAACTGATGCACACACAACACTCGGGTTCTGGAGCAGGACTGCAGTTCTGTAGTGGACGAGCAACCAGAACTTTCCGCCAGAGTGTACACCTGGTGAACGCGAAGAAGAAGAAGATTTGCTATTCAGCGTATCTAACTCGATGCGAACGCTTCGTAATGCCGGGATGCTGGGTTCGATCCTTTGCGTTGGTTTCGACAGTGGTATCAAGAAAGCCGACAGTCCAGACAGCAATGGCAAACTACTGGACGTAAAATTGCCTAGAAAACCCCCACAACAGCCAGGGGATGTTGAGGTTGGTTCTGCAATGTCCTGCAAAGGGTACGCAACTAACCTATTCAGCGTATAATAATAATAACAATAATTATTACGCGCACAAACAAGGATTAAGCCCCTAGTTTCATTGAGGGATAGAAAGCAGAAGAAGAAGAAGAAGAAGAAGAAGAAGAAGAAGAAGAAGAAGAAGAAGAAGAAGAAGAAAAAGAAGAAGAAGAAGAAGAAGAAAAAAAAAGAAGAAGCCCCCTGGGCCACCCCCAACAAATTATAAGGGGTTCTGAGCACCCCCCCCTCCCCTTTCTTTCTACGCCTATGTTTTCTTCGTGGCGACGCTCCTGCCAAACACAATGTAATCCAAACAATGTTAACCGTTTGTAAAATCCACAACGCTGTATGGTTGTTTGTTAGTGTGCCTTTGAAGGCGGATCCAGTTCATGGTATATAGATCAACTTATGCAAGCTGTAATGTTTTTATCGAAAGCAATTTTCACATGCTCTTAAAATGTTATATCAATGTTCCCTTCAGATATCATATCCACTGAGCTTATCTCGATCAATTATTAAATCGGAAACTTTCACGATACGAAGCAAATAATACATTTCTAAAAAAATAACTTCTTTTCTTTTAAAATGTAAAATGGATGTATTACAGAAGTGTGAATGAATGTTAGCATTAAATAAATCATCTCAAAGAATACTTCAGTTGAAAGACATCACAGCAAATACTATTTAAAAAAAAAATTTAATTCAGCCTCATCATCATCATCATGTTGTGTCATGTAACCATCATATTGGGCTCGCAGTCGTTCCTCCTCCCCCCCCCCCCCCCAATCTATCCAGTGCACAATACTCCTGATATCGTGTAGGATGGAATCCACTGCAGCAGATCTGCCCTCTCCTATCATTGCAAAACTTACCTACTGGTCATCCTTGAAAACAGGCGTGACTGCAGTCAGGCTAACTAACACCAAGAAATTAATCCTCTGAACTGTTGACTAAAAAGCTTCAACGAAACCGGGAATCAGAACAAGGTACACACAACCCACAAATCGACGTTTCGGCGGGTGCCGAAACTTTTTAGTCACATTCCATTGGATTAATCTCTTGGTCATTCTTGAACAGATCTAAACATATTCCGGTGAACAATCACACTACATGATCAGAGACGGGGTGGGGAGAGGGGGGTGTGATGGTGGGAGAGGGGGGGTGATGGTGGAAGAGGGGGGGGGGGTGATTGATAGAAATTTAGCGTCACATGCACTGCCGATTATTTCAGATAACAGCTGTTCTTCCATGCCAAGATCAAAAACTGCCTAAAGTCCTCTCGTCTGGTCACTCTCTCTTGTCTCCAAATGTCCCGTTGTTATTATGCTGTACTTTATCCCTTCTAATGGAGTTTCAAAAAAAATGTAGAGCTAAAAATTCTGACGCTTTATATTTATCTTTTCTTCTCCTTCTGTCTCCTCCTCCTCTTCCTTCTTCTTCTTCTTCTCCTCCTCCTCTTCCTTCTTCTTCTTCTTCTTCTCCTTCTTCTCCTCCTCCTCTTCCTGCTTCTTCTTCTTCTTCTTCTTCGAGTTCATTGGCTGTAACTAAAGGGGAAAGTTCTGGTTGTTCGCCCAACTCTGCACTTTAGTCTTCTTCCAGCACCTGAGTATTACGTGGACACCCGTTTTACAAATCTTGACTTTTCATGCAAGTTGTTGGTTCCTCGCCTCTCAGACAGATGGACTTCGACTTCAATGGAAGCTCCCAATCAGTCAGATCTTAAACATGCTTGTTGGGGCAGGCAGTGGGTCTATTCTAGTCCTCCCCAAAATGAGGACCCGGAACCCACATGACGATGCCTGTATTCAAAATTGTTTCTCCGGATTACAGTGGGTAGGTATATGGTGTGAGTCACCTTGCACTAAGTTCCACATCAGTATGAGCAACGATCATTCAGTGGGTAGGTATATGGTGTGAGTCACCTTGCACTAAGTTCCACATCAGTATGAGCAACGATCATTCAGTGGGTAGGTATATGGTGTGAGTCACCTTGCACTAAGTTCCACATCGGTAGAAGCATCGATCATTCAGTGGGTAGGTATATGGTGTGAGTCACCTTGCACTAAGATCCACATCAGTAGAAGCATCGATCATTCAGTGGGTACGTATATGGTGTGAGTCACCTTGCACGGACAGAATCCAGTCTGGCACCTTTGGCTACTCTCGTGAACGTTGGCCCTAGGGTTTCTTTTAGATGTCCTCATTTTCTCAAGCCATCTATTTCCCATTTCAATGATATTTATCATTGTTTCGTCATCCCCCTTGAGGGATGCAATTTTTCGTTATTTTGAAGCCCACCCTGGCTGTTGCCAGGGGCCGCAATATAGCTTGATGGTTGAACGCTGTTTCCGGGACCTCTCCACGGGTGATTCTCATCCGCATGGTGGCACTTTGTGTCACCGGGTGTTTATCGCTCTGTGTGATGTCCTGGTGGGGGAACATTTAGTTACAAGATTATGTCAAATAGATAGAAAATGACAGAAGGGACAACAGAAGTAGACATCAACCAATCAAAACGCTCGCAATGGCTGTAGCAGGATGGAACTGGAGAAAGACAGCAGAAGCAATTTCTACTAGATGTGTCCTGACGTAGTCGGGAACTGCACCAAAATACAGTAAGAAAGTACAGCAGATACCTACCTCCTTGGAAATAGAAACCAACATCGACATGCTACAAGAATATAATAGAAGGAAAAAATCACCATAAATCACACCGTCTGGTGACAGCAAGACTCAACGGAACCACAGGAAACATCTGAAGAAGTTCTACACAATAAAGATCGCATATATAAGCAAATGCTCTGAGGAGGTGAAACTCTTGAACGCGATCGAATTATTATTTTTGTTCTGCAAAATGGCTTGGATTGGACTGGATTGGATTGGACAGACACCAAAGGTCTGAAGCTTGGGACGCACCCGCCCCCCTCCCCTTGCCTCAAGGGTGGCATTAGTAAGTTTCAAGGGGTGGGGATGGGGGAGGGAGAGCATCAAGCAATTGTGAAACAGAAATTGTGTACCTGTAATAATCGAGATGTTAAGCTTGTACAGTTATGAAAACAAATTAGCGCTGCTAGCTTGATGCTGAGAGTGAGCTGTGTTGTACCTTGTCCAACATCAGACAACAATACAGCAGGTATCCTCGAGACAAAACAGTGTCAACCATCACAATGATATTTGGGCACTGAATTACCAGTTGCTGGTGATTGCTCTTCTGTTATATTTGACATTCCCAATGATGTGCATTGTTTGTCTCCAGGTTCTTGTTAACAGTAAGTGGGATTGTTCTTTCTGTCCTCTTTTTAATCACGTGTTGTTATGCTCGACAGAAAAAGGGGTTGGGTTGGGGGGGGGGGGGGAGGTGAGTCTTGTCATATACATAAGAGGAGCCCACCTATAGGTCCAGCTGTCTACAATCTACATGAAGCGGAAAAACCCGATATAGACATGGCGTACATGCCTTTATTTCGCGTCGGTGTTAGGTCACAGTAATGGAGGGAATTACAATATTTTATTTGTAAAGCACAACATGAGTTATTTTGTCAGTGACTGTCACACATTTTGCGCAAACAGTGTGTGGGGGCACCCCCCCCCCCCCTCCTCCTAAATGAAGGTCACTACTTTGTGAATGGTCAACATATGATCAAACTTTTCTGTGTAGGAAACACGGAGACGGTGTCCCTGAAGCTTAGCACCCCAAAAATGCTGAGCATGTGCTCCAACAATGTAATGCAACTCTATGCTGACAACAGAAACACAGTCTGACATGTTCTAATCGCAATGGTACACAAAGAGATATGGACTGCATGATAGCTTTCATAAAGGCTACCGGCCTCCTGATATAAAGTTTTTTGATAAAAGGATCGAAGAAGAAGAAGAAGACTTTGTGAATATACTATATGAAATCATTTAAAAGACAATGACAAGAAGACGTGAAAATAATGAGCTGTTACACACAAAGTTGTACTCACCAATTGCCGTCACTGGAGTAATCCTCTCTTACTGTGGCCCATTGTCTCTCGGCAAGATAAGGTCCCCATTTCTTCCACGCCTTGCTTCTGACTTTGTCTTCTTTCAACCGTCTCTGTTCTGATGCCATTTTGTCCCGGCCAAGTGGGAGGGAATTCACACAAAGTTAACTATATCCTTGTAGAATAAAATTAACCATGTTAACATTTAAATATTCACACACAATGCATGCATGATTCGCTAAAAATATACACACACGCAAAAAGATGTTACCTACTGAGTTTGTAGGAAGTTAGACTGAATGACGGTAACAATTCTATAGGATGATGCTCTAAACATTATTGCACTCTAAACATTATTGCACTCTAAACATTATTGCACTCTAAACATTATTGCACTCTAAACATTATTGAACTATTCCTCATTGGGGTTTCTAAAATAAAATAAATTAAATTTCTTCTTCTTTGCGATCTGTTTCGTTTGCTCAGGTCAGACCATCAAGTGGGTTGCCTCTATGAACTCGCATGTCAGCTGCAGGCCATGCATGGTTCCCCATAGCTTGCTCTCCACACTTTGCTCTTGATGCCAGGTCTCTTTTCAAATTGTAGGTAGAGTTGGCAGGTCTGCAGAATGTGCTCAGGTATTTGTGGTCCTGTCATACAGGCACAATGTGGGAGTTGTAGTCTTAATGTTGTTTATGTTGTAGTTGAGCCTGCAGTATCCTGTTCGTAGACGGAAAATTGTTGTATGCTGCTTTCTGTTGAATCTGCTGATGGGGTCTTTAGGGTGTTTACTTTTTTGGTTTGTTCTCTCCACAATTCTTTGTGATTAAATTTAAACTGTATGCCGTCTCCCCAATGAAGGTTTCCCGCTGCTGTCTTTGAGAATATTCGACTGGTGAGGCCCCGTCTTTTCCACGGTGTTACTCTCGTACCACTGTCAGAAAACCACGACAGTGGCTCTTTCTTAAACATAGTCCACAACGACTCACAGAGCATGACGAGAACGGTGGCGACAGACATGCTCGCTTAGTTAGCGTTTTTTGTATATTTTCTGAAGGTTATGCCGGTGTGTTGGGGAATGAGCAGGCAGATAGACTGGCTAGCTCTGCACCACTTGGAGGTGAATTGATGTATGACAAACTAGATGTTGTGAGGGCGCTTTGGGGGACAGGGAACAGAGCGGAGGCACAAAAAGATCATTACGGTCCGAGGAGAATGGCGCTGCGGGGAGTTACCAGGCGATCTTGCCAACGCTCAACACTCAAAGAAAAGGCGACATGGATATACAATCCGGCAGTTACTGGTTACGTCGAAATTAGAACTCTTCGCTTGCTGCTGAAGATGGGGACGATCGTTTATGGGAGTGTCCAGAGTGCTATGATGTCTATTCTCAATTCCACATTCAAGTCCCCAGCGGAAATCGAACTTTTTCTCTGAATCGATCATCAACAAACTGTCACCAAGTCGCCGTATTCTTCGTTCTCGCAAGCAACTCACCCCATCTTTACAATCGATAACTATGGAATGTGGACATAATTCATCTGAATCCAACGAAATGGCACAATAGGCTTAGAGGTTAATGAATGCGGTTAACAACTGTGTGATCCTCCAGTACTAGGGATCGTTTCCTGCGGTGGGCGGTTTAAAAAAAAACACTTTCTCATGGTTTTCGAACAGTGGTACGAGAGTCACGTCGTGGAAGAGATTTAAGGCCTCAACATGTAATATTCTCAAAGAGAACAGTGATACACTGTGGAGACAGAACAGACCTGGTAATATAAATGATGTGGTGCAAAACCTGCACAAGCCAATCTGCACTAGATGGCTGATGAGGCCAACAGTATATATTGTCCAGTGGGAATTAAATGGTATGAAAGAATCACTAACATAGAGCTTTTGGAGAGAACTAAACAAGTTCCAGTGGACCAAGAGTTGAGGAACAGACGCTGGGATTGGATAGGCCACAGGCTGAGAAAAAGCTGAGTACAATTAACTAGAATGTCTTTGCACTGGAACCCATAGGAGCGCCCAAAAAAAATTAAGACAAAAACAAAAAACGCATGAAGAAGGGAGAGTCAGCAAAGTTAAAAAGATGCGGAGGACACGGGACAGCTGCATGCGATAGCGAACGAAAGAGCCACTTTGCGTGAACTGGTTAAGGCCTTTGTTCTATTAGGGGTTAGAAAGGCAGAAGAAGAAGAAAGAAGAATATGGTCAAGTGAAAGGCTGAGGACTTATTGTAGTTTTCAGATTGGAAAAATGTAGAAATACAGCGCAAGCAAGTGTACACAAACACACAGACAAAACGCAAACGACCCCAACAGCAAACCCTACCCGGTACAGTAAAGCCAAACGAATAATCAAACATCAAAGGCGGATGGAGTAACTTTTAATCCAGAATCCACCCAATGATGGGTCTATAAAATATAGGTCTAACCCTATATGCCCAGTACGCATAAAGGCATGCAAAGGGGTCTTTTATTTTATTTTTACCCCCAATGTTAAAACAGCTCGCCTTTGGAAAAGAGGGGGGGGGGGGCATAAAAAACAAAACAGTTTTCTGAATACCTATTGTGGTGAGGCTGCCTGTGTGCCTACCAATTCTATCACTTCAACATGTCAAACAGGAGACGTTGTTCATAGGAAATTTGGGGACAGAATTGGACTGCACATCTTCGTTGCCTAGCCTCTCTTATGATACGAGAAGAATAATGAGACTTGTGGAGGGAAAAGAAGAGGAGGGATAAGAAGAGAAGTAAGAAGAGGAGAAGAAGCGGCAGAAGAGGCAACAGCAGCAGAAGAGGAAGAAGAAGACAAAGACGGGATGAGGTGTTGTGGTAGTAGTAAAACAAGTAAAAGTCATCATCATCATCAATTTCCTCTTCTGCCCTTAAGTTACGTGGGGAGGAACAATTTGCGATCCATTGCTTGATGGGCAGCAATGGCTATTATCTTCTGTCTATGTAGAAGCACTTGAGTGTCACCAATCCATATTCTCCTAGGGCGGCCTCTTGATTTCATTTCAGTAACAATAGTAAAACAAGTAAAAGTAGTAGAAAAAAAAAAAAGACATAAAGAAAGAAAGACGGCACTCTTCCGAATACCGGTCCCAAATTATTCACCGTTAAAAAATCCTATTCAGGGCCTCAAGAGGTCATTTTCTAACCATTAACAGGGCGGTTGCACGTTGTGTTGTGCTTTACAGCTAGGCTGCGAAATATGCGCCTTTCGCTTGTTCTTGTGGTTCATAGCTAGGCTGCGATAGCGGCGGCGAGATGCTCAATTATAATGTCACGGGTAGGTAAACTTCGTTCTTTTCGTTCGCTCTTGAAAGAATGGTTCTCACGTTGTGTTGTGGTTTATAGCTAGGCTGCGATATCTGCGCCCTTTGCCCCAAAGCATCCGATTTCAGCAGTCCTAATTAGTCGCCTTTTACCATTTTTATGTGGCAGTGGATCTATTTTTTCTTTCCCCTAAAATATTTGGCCCTGGACACCACAAGGACAGTAATGGGTAATGTAAACAATGGATCAAAAATCATTCACGTTGCTTAAATGGATGGAACTCTACTCCTTCCCAAGACGCTTAAACAATGGATCTAATTCTATTCTTTTCCACGTCGCTTCAATGGATCGAAAACGATTCCTCCCCACGGCGCTTAACGTCTAAACATTGATATCCAGCGAGCAATAACGGCACAAGTGGAAACTGATCATGATGGCCTAAACGGTTTTACTACATAACCTTCTGAGGGATGTTTTTCGGCTGTGAATAATTTGGGACCGGTATTCGGAAGAGTGCCAAAAAGTCGAATAAAGAATAAGTATACAACGCGACCTCGCTTTACGTGGCTCAATAGAAAATCCAGTGCTGTAAATAAAAGCCTAACTAAATAAAGTCAAAGCTAGTATCATTTAGAAAATGTAAATACATAAGTCGAACTTTTGAAAGACTCAAATAAATTGCAAAGATAATCAATTTAACGTTGGCATAGGTATTACAGAAATTGTCATGTGTTAACACCGTATGACGTAAAAACAGACAGAGACAGACAGACAGACCACGACCGGCTTTATGTGCTTCTCTGAAACCACGCGCACAAGGTCTGTCATGTTTACGTTTAGGTAAAGTGTTGCTCGTGGTCACAAGGTATAGTGTTCGCCTTGAGTGCTAGAGGTCACGGGTTCATGCCACGGTGAAGGTTGGGATTCTTTTCTGTTCACGTGGACTTCTGGTGATTCCCCCCTGGTCTCTGGGTAGTGAGATCGGACGTCCGTGTGCATTGTTGCGAACGTAAAAAATCCCTTGGCGGTTGGAAATCGAAAAGCTGTAGCCTAACGGCGCTGCCCAGGCAAACATTTTGAGTTTAAAATCGACCCAAAGTATTTCAGGATCCTCGCCGGTGCTGCAGAACCTGTGCATTGTACTGAGCTTCTTCGGACTCATTGAATTGGAAAAAGAACGGAGCACTTATGGGTTCCTACCCGTGTGCCATGATGTAGACCCGTTCCTCAATACTATAAACGTATAGTAGCATCAGTTGCTACTTTATCAACGTGGATTACAGGGAATAGTCTTACCCACAGTTAATACAATGCTGGAGTTAATGAAGGGTGGGATCAAGCGTGGCATCAGATTTAACTAGAGTCGATACTGTGTAGGGTTGTGAAGTATTCAGTAATTCATTCAGTCAGTCAGTCAACCATTCAATCAATTGTTCAATGTGTAAATCTGCCTGGGAGTCTGTCTGTGTGTCTGTATTTCTTTTTGTCTGTCGGTCTTTCTGTATGTATGTCTGTTTTTCGACCTAATCCTTTATCCGCCCACTCACCGATTTATTCGTCCACCCATCTAAGGAATTTCCCCACCCCATACCCCCCCCCCCCCCCCCCCCCCAAAAAAAAACACACAACTGCTTTCCCGGAACAAAATAAATATTGTAAAATCTGCTCATTATAAATTTACTCACAAATAAAAACTTGTTCACTGCACAGGAAAGCGGTTCATGATCTTCTGGTCCATCGTGGAAAGTGCAGAACTAGAGCAAACCATGACAATGTAGAGGTTGGACGGGAGGAGACAGACAGACAGATATACATACAGACAGTCCGTGACTGATTTCGTGACT